AAGCTATCTTAAAAACTATGAAAGGAGGAAATATATTATCCAGATGGAAATAACAGACTGACAGCAGTTTTCTCATCAGCAAAAGAATCTAGACGGCAATGGAGTTATATCTTCAAAGTGTTGGGGAAAATAATATTTAACCTAGAATTTTGTATTGAGCCAGAGGATCATTCAGCACATTCCCCGATTTTCAAAGCTAAGAAGGTTTGCCACTCACAGACCTGCATGAAACAACCATTATAGGATGTTCCTTAGCAAGAAAAAAAGAAAATCCAGAAGGGAGTCATGAAAGAGAGAAACATGGTGTGAACCCAAGAATTAACAAAATATATCAGTACAATCAAATAATGATATCAGGTATAACTTTTTCTATTTGAAAAGGGAAAAAATTTTACATAATATTAATAAGATAGGGTGCTCTATATGTAGATAAAGCGTGTTAAGTTCATTGTCATGAAAATCTGTGAACATTGTTTTAAAATTATGATTAAATATATATTAGATTAAATCAAATGAAATTGCCAATATTCAACCATTTTTTACTTACCAAAAGAAAGTAAAAAAGGTGGAACAGCTCTTTTTCGTGGCGCCTCGGAGGCAATCAGCTGCTTCACGATGAAGCTGAATATCTCCTTCCCAGCCACTGGCTGCCAGAAACTCATTGAAGTGGACGATGAACGCAAACTTCGTACTTTCTATGAGAAGCGTATGGCCACGGAAGTTGCTGCCGACGCTCTGGGTGAAGAATGGAAGGGTTATGTGGTCCGAATCAGTGGTGGGAATGACAAGCAAGGTTTCCCCATGACGCAGGGTGTCTTGACCCATGGCCGTGTTCGCCTGCTACTGAGTAAGGGGCATTCCTGTTACAGACCAAGGAGAACTGGAGAAAGAAAGCGCAAATCTGTTCGTGGTTGTATTGTGGATGCCAACCTGAGTGTTCTCAACTTGGTTATTGTAAAAAAAGGAGAGAAGGATATCTCTGGACTGACTGATACTACAGTACCTCGTTGTCTGGGGCCCAAAAGAGCTAGCAGAATCCGCAAACTCTTCAATCTGTCTAAAGAAGATGATGTTCGCCAGTATGTTGTGAGGAAGCCCTTAAATAAAGAAGGTAAGAAACCTAGGACCAAAGCACCCAAGATTCAGCGACTTGTAACTCCACGTGTCCTGCAACATAAACGCCGGCGTATTGCTCTGAAGAAGCAGCGCACTAAGAAAAATAAGGAAGAGGCTGCAGAATATGCTAAACTTTTGGCTAAGAGAATGAAGGAGGCCAAAGAAAAGCGCCAGGAACAGATTGCCAAGAGACGCAGGCTGTCCTCTCTGAGAGCATCTACTTCTAAGTCTGAGTCGAGCCAAAAATAAGATTTTTTGAGTTAAATAATAAATAAGACCATATCCTAAAAAAAAAAAAAAAAAGGTGGAACAGAAAGTTTAAAATCATAAGCAAATACTATGAGCAACTTTATATTAGTAAATTTGAAGACCAGGCTAAGATTCATTTTCTCAAAAAATATACATTGTCAAAATGTATTAGAAAGGAATAGAAAATAAAAATTAATGGCTATTAAAAATATTGATTCAATATTCAAAACCTTTCCATCCCAACAAATAATAGGACTAGATAGTATTACAGGCAAATTTTACCAAAACTTCAAAGAATAGATAATGTTAATGTTATATAAATATTTTTGTTGAAAGAAAAATAGGAAAAGCTCCCCAATTTATTTTATAAAGTATAATCTTGAAATCAAAACAAACAAGGATATATAAAAAAAGGTTTATAATAACTTTAGAAAACAGATTTTTACAATGTTAAATATAAATCAGCAGTTTACGAAAAAATAACGAAGCAATGTTGATCACAGGAATGCAATGATTATGTAAAGGTAAAAAAAACTGTTCATTTTCATAGGTGCAGAAAAAGTAGTCAATAAAAATTAATAACTATTTCTGATTTTTGAAAGCCTATAAAATTAGAAAAGTCGTTATTTTGCAACCTCAGTGAATAAACTTTGGGTAATGATCAGCAACAAATACTAAAACCACTCATGGAAATACTGGCAAGATTGAACATCCAGCAGTACGAGGTGTTGTGAAGATAGAGAGGAAACAGTGTTCTCAAGCACAGCTAACGAGAACGTAGAGTGACAGGGCTCTGTGGCTCGCCGGGGTCCTAGCGACGGAAAGGTGGCCGCAGCGGCCGCCTGACGCCAGCGGCGGTACGGGACGGGGTCTGCCGCCTTCTCCTGGAGGGAAGCGGCGACAAAGGCGCTGGGAGGATGCCTGCGGCCGGAGGGACCTCTCCCCGGGGGACTGGGCAATGGAGGGCGGACGGCTGACCCGGAGGCGGCCTGTCAGGGGAAGCAGAGCAGGTGCGAGCGAGGCGGAAGTGCAGGGACAGAGACGGAAAAGGAGCCGTCTAGGAAGCCGGGTCGCAGGTCACCCATTGGGGAGCAGCTGCAGTGACTAGGGCCCGGGCGCCAGCGAGATGCCTTTGTTCACCGCCAACCCCTTTGAGCAAGACGTGGAAAAAGCCACGAATGAGTACAACACTACAAAAGATTGGAGTCTTACTATGGACATATTTGACAAAGTTGGAAGCACTCCTTAACGGAGCAAAGATTGCCTCAAAGCCATAATGAAAAGGGTAAATCATAAGGTTGCTCATGTTGCGCTGCAGGCATTCACTTTCCTTGGAGCTTATGTGGCCAACTGTGGAAAGATGTTTCATTTAGAAGTATGTTCCCGTGATTTTGCAACAGAAGTACGTGCTGTGATTAAAAATAAGGCTCATCCTAAAGTATGTGAAAAACTGACAGAGTCAATGGTGGAGTGGTCAGAAGAATTTCAGAAGGCCCTTCAGTTTATCTTTTGTTGTTGTTGCTATTGAAAACAGAGTCTCACTCTTGCCGGGGCTAGAGTGCCGTGGTGTCAGCCTAGCTCACAGCAACCTCAAACTCCTGGGCTCAAGCCATTCTTCTGCCTCAGGCTCCCGAGAAGCTGGGACTACAGGAACGCACCACCACACCTGGCTAATTTTTTATATTTTTAGTAGCCTTGCAGCAAAAGCCTTGCTTTTGCTGAGGCTAGTCTTGAACTCCTGAGCTCAAGTAATACTCCCACCTCAGCCTCCCACAGTGCTAGAATTACAGGCATGAGCCACTGTGCCTGGCCAGGACCATCAGTTTAGTCTAGTATCTGCAACTATTAAACCTATGAAAGAAGAAGGAATTATTTCTCCAGTAGGTTCTCAGACTGTCTCAGTTGTTGCTAAGAATGATGATACATCACTGAACAAAAAGATGAAGACATAGCTAAAGCTATTGAATTATCATTGCAAGAGCAGAGACAGCAACACACAGAAACAAAATTCTTATATCTATCGGTAGAAATTCAGTTAACTAAAGGTTACATGGAAAGTGAGAGCTTTATGTGATTTTGAACCTGTTGGGAACAATGAACTCATCTTTAAACATGGTGGAATTATTATTGTTTGGATGACAGTGATGCCAATTGGTGGAAAGGAGAAAATCACAGAGGAATAGGACTCTTCCCATCCAATTTGGTAATAACTAATTTAAACATAGAGTCTGAGGCAGCAGCTGTGGACAGACTGAATGTAATTGATGATGATGTGGAGGAAATTAATAAATCTAAGCCTGAGCCTGTTTATATAGATGAGAATAAGATGGATAGAGCCCCGCAGGTACTCCAGAGTGTAAATCCAGCCGATTCAAAACCAGAATCCCAAGACCTCTTGGATTTAGAAGATATCTGCCAGCAGATGGGTCCAATGATAGCCAAAAAGCTTGAAGAGATTGATAGGAAGCATTCTGAACTGTCTGAATTGGATGTAAAAGTCTTGGAAGCTCTGGAACTATATAACAAATTGATGAATGAAGCACTAGTATATTCAGTCTATTCAAAGCTCCATCCTCCAGCACATCATCCACCTACATCATCTGGGGTTCCAATGCAGATATATCAAGTTCAACCACATGGTGGAAACTAGATGGGTCAAAGCATTTGCCAAGTAACTGTTGCCCGGAGCTACATAGCCTAGGATCAGATCAAATGGTCCAATGAGATCTCTGCCTCCAAGTGTGAATTGCTCTGTGACAACACAGCCTGCTCAAACTCCACATTTACGCACTGGACAAGACACTGTTTCCAGTCCTACTAACATGAACCAGAACTCTACCCTTCAATCAGCTACTGGTTATACCGGATAGCTGCTTACACACAGCCAGTGGGGATGTCTGTGGATATGTCATATTACCAGAACACTACTTCCAATTTGCCACACGTGGCAAGCTTTCCCATGGTGGTACCAGCTCACTCAGTCCCACAGCAGCAAACAAATTAGCATCAGCAGCCTGTCCTTTAGAAACAAGCCGAGCATTTTCTTGAAAGCCTTCATAAGTGTATTAATCAACCCTTGTGATTCTAACCTGAAAATATTGAAAGAAAACTTTTTTTCTCTCAACTCAAAAGGACCATGAATAAAATAAAGCACAAAAACCTATCTTACTCTACAAGGCCATAAAAGGTGGTTTTTGTTTGTTTGTTTGTTTGTTTGTTTTCAGTTCAGTTTGTTTGAAGTCAGTCTGCTAATCACAGGCAGCTTAAAGATGCTTCCAGTAAGTTGTGTCTTACTTTCGAATCTCTACATAAATCTGGACACCCAGTAAGTAGCCTTAAGTTGCTAAACAGTATGAGATAGGAAAATAAAACTTTTACCTTAAAGCAACCACTGTTTCCCCCTAAAATGTCATGATAACAGCACTGAAGAACTTTTGATATTTTTTCAGAGTTTCCCACACACTATTCTTTTAAAAGGCAAACATCTTTTTTGTGTAAGTGTTTAGCTTGCCAACGTATTTCCTTTTGTCTCCTTAAATTGCAGTTGTGTTTGCAGTACTGTCAGTTTTGCTCTCAGTGTTATGTTGAGTAATAATTAGCATATAATTGTCTACAGAAGAAGGGAAAGCAATTTGGAAGGAGCAAAAATGTGTTCTGTTATTAGCAATTAGCAGTGAAGACCATGCAAATGCAGATGTGTGATAAAGTATTTAGCCAGTCCCCTAGTCACATCGGCATTTGGCTAAGGAATGTCCCGGAAAACATTTTCATCCCCTGGGGAAAAATATTTCCTTTCTTGGTATTTAGAATTTCCATTAATGACCTTTTCGAGTGACTTTGGACATTCTCTAATGGCAATATGGTCCATTTGTTTTTCTTCCTGCACTGTGGTGTATGTGGAGATGCTGCATTTCTTTTTTACGGATTTTATGTCAATTTGAACCATTCCTAATAATTTGATGTGATATATACCAAGCCTGAGTGTGTTTTTAGTGATGTGTTGAGTTTTTTGTGTTTGTTTTGAGAATGTGTTATATCTTTAAAGAAGTGATTCAAGTATCATGGCAAAGCTGTCAGCATACCAAGCTGTTGAAAAAATTGGCTGTTTCTTTCAGAGGTAATGCTTAGCCTGTGGAATAAGAGTGGGTGATGACTTGATAGAAGGCAGTGGATTGATGGGAAGGGTATGAAGGCAGTTTTTCTGGTGCCTGCATTTTAATTAGTTTATAGTGCTAATAGATTCCACATACTATGGGAGTTAAGTAGTAAAGCAATAGGGATGGTTTTCTCTTCTAAAAATTTGCACACTGCTTCATCTCTACCAACTTTTTATATAACACAAAATCAAAATGCAAATACATATGCATATGGATACATGATATTTAGAGAGGGAAAAACAATGAACATAGTTTAGTTTTTAAAAAGTTACTTGCATGAAAGCAAGATTTCCATATTTTGTTTTTAAAGAAAACATTCTTTCTACTAAGAATACATTTGGAGCTCGGGGGCAAGGCAGGCAAGTTCGGGGCTGTGCCGCCCACTCCGGGTCCTGGCCCACGGCCGCGCTTCGGCCCTCCGGCCCCCAGTTCCCTGCAGTTCCCCGAGACTCGCCGAGCGCCGCTGCTCAGCCCCGCGACGCGCAGGCAGGGTGGCCACTGCCGTGGGTGCGAATGAGCCTAACATGATGAAGAGCCGAATCCCTGTGGTGCTCCTGGCCTGTGGCAGCTTCAACCCCATCACCAACATGCACCTGCGCTTGTTTGAGGTGGCCAGAGACCACCTACACCAAACAGGAATGTACCAGGTTGTCCAGGGCATCATCTCTCCTGTCAATGACAACTATGGGAAGAAAGACCTGGCACCTTCCCATTATCGAGTGGCCATGGCCCGGCTGGCCCTGCAGACTTCCGACTGGATCCGGGTGGACCCCTGGGAGAGTGAGCAGGCCCAGTGGATGGAGACGGTGAAGGTGCTGAGGCATCATCACAGTGAACTGCTCAGATCTCCGCCCCAGATGGAAGGGCCAGACCACGGCCACGCAGCTGTGCCTGAGCTGAAGCTCCTCTGCGGGGCAGGCGTCTTGAAATCCTTCCGAACCCCCAACCTCTGGAAGGAGGCACACATCCAGGAAATAGTGGAGGAGTTTGGCATGGTGTGCGTGGGCCGAGCGGGTCACGACCCTAAGGGGTATGTCTGGGAGTCGCCCGTCCTGCAGAGGCACCAGCACAACGTTCACCTCGCCAAGGAGCCCGTGCAGAACGAGATCAGCGCCACGTACATCAGGCGGGCCTTGGGCCAAGGGCAGAGCGTCAAGTACCTGCTCCCCGACGCCGTCATCGCCTACATCAAGGAACACAAGCTGTACACCAACGGCAGTTCCCGGGAAGGCAAAAGCACCCAGAGCAATGAAGGAAAAACGAGCTAGGGAGAGACTCAGCGGACGGGCGGGCGGGCCGGCCACTCCTCCTCCACCAGTCTCCTGCCAGGGAGAAGGCAGTTCAGGCTTTTGTGTTGCTTTGATTTTTGCTTTTCCATTTGTTTTATTTCTACAGTGATTTTACTTCTGAGGAGTCTTCTGTCTCAGGAAGAGATAGCTTATTATGGGGGCAGGGAGTGTGTGCCTCACAAAGATGGACATTTATCAGAGAAGTTAAGACGGTGTGGCAGGTCATTAAGATTAGGCAAAAATCCCTCAGAACCAATGAATGAGGAGGCCTTCTTATTTTGTGTAAATGGTAATTATGGTGTGCGCACTAAATGCAGTTCTGAGCATGGCAGGGGCCCCTGAAGGTCAGATCAGAATTGCCCACAATGGATTTTTTTTAACGACGACCAGATGCAGTGAGCTGGTCTTGATTGGAGAGATTTGACAGGATGCTAATTACTGAACAGTAGGCTTTGTCAACGCTCTTGTTTCCAACAGAATACTAACCGAGGAGTCAAAAATTTGGAAATAGCACATTGCTGATTTATATCGAGTTTTCCCTTACAAACCATTGTCTGACAGCATACTGGCCTTTCATAAAATTTAAACTAAACTTTTTCTAAGTAGTGACCCTCAAGCAATATTTTTGATATAACAAGTATTTTTGACACTGCTATACCATAAATGTCAGGGTTCCTGATTTCCAAGTTTCTAAAAAGGAACTGAGGTCAGATGGCTATTGTAAAGGATGTTTTTGAATGTTTTATGACTGCCTGCCCGTTTGAATATTGGCAAAGGGATAAATAATAAATTGACATCAAAAAGTAAAAAAAAAAAAAAAGAATACATTTGAAGACAGTTCTGGACATTTTGTTATTTATCTACAGAAATTTGATTATAAGTATGTTTCTTTTTCAAAGAGACTTTACCCTGAAACAAAATAGTCTATATAATATATGGTCTACATTTAAAAAGGAAAGCAAGCAGTATTTGAAGGCCCAATTTCTATCATTGTCTTATTTCAGATATGAATAACTAAAAAGAAAGTTTTAACCTTTAATGTCTTGTTTTCTGTTTTTCATCCAGTATTTTTCATTCATGTGAATTCACCTCTATACTTATAAAAAGTATTCTAAAATAGCACCCCTTAATAAAATGTGGTATAATATATACCATGGAGTGCTACTCAGCTTTAAGAAACAATGGTGATATAGCACCTCTTGTATTTTCCGGGATAGAGCTGGAACCCATTCTACTAAGTGAAGTATCTCAAGAATGGAAAAACAAGCACCACATGTACTCACCAGCAAATTGGTATTAACAGATAAACACCTAAGCAGACATATAGGAATAACATTTATGGGGTGGCAGGCAGGTGGGAGGGGAGAGGAGGGGATGGGTATATACAAACACAATGATTGAGATGTGCAACATTTGGGGGATGGTCACGCTTGAAGCTTTTACTAGAGGGGAGAGAGGGGGCATGGGCAATATACGTAACCTTAACACTTGTATCCCCATAATACGCTAAAATAACAAAAAAAAAATTGAAATAAAAAAAATAGCACCTTACTTTTTGGAAACAAATCATCTGTTCTGTAAAATAAAATAAGAAGAATCCAAAGCTGCTCTTGATAATAATTAATATTCAATGTTCACATATATATGGAAAATCTTGCATTTCTTCTCCCAAACTATATTTAATAAATTTATTTTAATGTTTGTGTAAAATAAAAAAGAGAGAGAATGTAAACTGAATGACTTTGGAAAGCAATTGGGAAATATCTGGCAAGGCTAATACTCCAGGTCCCAGGATATCCTATTCTAGAATCTTCCTTAATAATTTAATAGTTAACACTGAAATGACATTTAATATGTGCCAGGCACTGTTCTACATACTTTACACATGTTACCCCTTAAATCCTCCCCAAGAACCTCCTGAGATGAGTGCTATTGCTATCCTTATTTTCCAGATAAGGGCCCTAAGGCATGACAGGATTAAGTCACAAGCTTAAAAGCACAGGTTAGTAATTGATAGAGCCAAGATTCAAACTCAGAAGATGCATGCAGACATATGTGTAAGCATCATTCTATTGAAACAAAAAGCCTGAAGAAAATATAAATGAATGAGAGAATGACTTGATAACTTATGGAATAGAAATGCAATGAAATACTTCGCAACTGTTAAAATCAGTGAATTGGTATGGATAAATCTCAACAAATGTAAATTTAAACAAACATGAGGAAAGTTTTAGACTGTTACGATTCCATTCATATAAAATTTTTTACCTATATGAATTTTAAAATTCATATAAAAATGTTACCTGTTTTACATATCATGTTATGATCCCATTCATATAAAATTTTTCGAGGCAAATCAATGTTTATAATGTTAATCGATATACAGATATAATATAGAAATATAAAGACTTGCCTGAAAATAATAAACACTGGATTAATGATAGTGTTTATTTCTGAGGAAAATAGATAAATGGGACTGAGTAGGGGTTCAGAGCAGCTCTCAGCTATATCTGTACATTTTATTTATTTATTTATTTATTTATGAGACAGAGTCTCACTTTGTTGCTCAGGGCTAGAGTGCTGTGGCATCAGCCTAGCCCACAGCAACCTCAAACTCCTGGGCTCAAGTGATTTTCCTGCCTCAGCCTCCGGAGTAGCTGGGACTACAGGCACTCTCCACCACCACTGGCTAATATTTGTTTCTATTTTTAGTTGCTCAGCTAATATTTTTTTTAATTTTTAGTAGAGGTGGGGTCTCACTCTTGGCTTAGGCTGGTCTCAAACTCTAGAGCTCAAGTGATTCTCCCGAGTTGGCCACTCAGAGTGCTAGGATTACAGGTGTGAGCCACTCCGCGTGGCCTTATCTGAACATTTTAATTTCTTAAAAAACAAAACAAATTTTAGCAGGTATGGCGTAATGTTTAAGATATGATAAAGTTGGAAGGAGGTAACTCAGTGTTCATTAAATTTTTCTCTACAATTTTAAAATATTTTACAACAAAAAATATTTTTTTACAAACCCTGGTGGAATCTTTTTTAATTAAAAATTTAGGGTAGGCCGGGCGCTGTGGCTCACGCCTGTAATCCTAGCTCTTGGGAGGCCGAGGCGGGCGGATTGCTCAAGGTCAGGAGTTCGAAACCAGCCTGAGCAAGAGCGAGACCCTGTCTCCACTAAATATAAAGAAAATAATTGGCCATCTAAAAATATATAGAAAAAATTAGCCGGGCATGGTGGCACATGCCTGTAGTCCCAGCTACCCGGGAGGCTGAGGCAGAAGGATCACTCGAGCCCAGGAGTTTGAGGTTGCTGTGAGCTAGGCTGACGCCACGGCACTCACTCTAAAAAAAAAAAAAAAAAAAAAATTTAGGGTAGTGTTAGTTACTTTTATAGAAAAATTTTGAAGATAGTACCGAATTCCCATGTACCCCACACCTAGTTGTTAACATCTTATATTAGTTTGGTACATTTGTTACAATTAATGAATCAATACTAATACATTATTAGTGCATAATTTATTCAAATTCTCTTAGTTTTCACCTAATTGTTTTTTCTGTTCCAGTATCTCATTTAGGATATAAAATTTACCACATTGGCTGGGCACGGTGGCTCACGCCTGTATTCCTAGCTCTCTGGGAGGCTGAGGCAGGCAGATTGCTTGAGGTACGGAGTTCAAAACCAGCCTGAGCAAGAGCGAGACCCTGTCTCCACTAAATATAAAGAAAATAATTGGCCATCTAAAAATATATAGAAAAAATTAGCCGGGCATGGTGGCACATGCCTGTAGTTCCAGCTACTCGGGAGGCTGAAGCAGAAGGACTGCTTGAGCCCAGGAGTTTGAGGTTGCTGTGAGCTAGGCTGACGCCATAGCACTCTAGCCTGGGCAACAAAGTGAGACTCTGTCTCAAAAACAAACAAACAAACAAACAAAATTTACCACATTACATTAAGTTGTCACATCTCCTTTTTAAAAATTATTTTTATTTATTTATTTTTTATTTTAGCATATTATGGAGGTACAAGTGTTAAGGTTATGTATATTGCCCATGCCCACCCCCTTGAGTCAGAGCCTCAAGTGTGACCATCCCCCAAACGTTGCACATCTCCCTCATTGTGTTTGTGTATACTCATCTGTCACATCTCCTTAAGCAACTTTTGGTTGTGACAATTTCACATCTCTTCTTGTTTTCGATGACTTTGACAATTTCGTGGAGTATTGATCACTTATTTTGTAGATTGTTCCCTAACTGGGATTCGTCTGATGTCTTTCTAATGATTAGGCAGGGATTATGTATTAATATGATGATTTAAATTTCACGGTCTGAAACCACAATTAGTTTTACACCAACCAAATATTTGGGGAGGAAGATCATAGAAGTAAAGTACTCTTCTTATTATATCATCTCAAGGATACATATTATCAACATGATTGATAAAAATAAGTCTAAAAAAATAAAATTTAAAAAGTAGTTAGAAATATTAATTAAGTAGTTTATGAGGTCAGTCAAAAAATACTAATAAATTCAGATTCAAAATTCTTTTATTCAACCACAAAATTTGTTCACTATAATGGCAGTACATTCAGAGACTGTAATATTTGCTGGTTACATAATTTTTGAGGTTTTTACAAAGGTATTTTTTTGAAAAAGCAAAGAGACTCTTTAATAATGAGAAAATAATAAAACGCCACTTAACCACAGTTGTGATATTTCATTTCCTAATTTTAAAATATGACATTTTAAAGATTCGGTGCCCAACTATTTTTTTCCTGGCTTAGCTCTCCATGTAAAAAGGTCTCTTTCCACTTTCTCTAAATGTGCAAATATTTAGCAGTATTTAGAAGACAATGGTGTAATGTCTTGCCCAAGAACTTTGGGTCTCACAGATCCTAATGCTGCCTGTTGCTTCACTCTGTGTAGCTGGATGTGTTTTTTAACTGCTCTCCAGGTCCTGATTTCTCCATTTTTCATGTCATAGAGTGGGGGTGATAGTGGTAACATCCACCTTGCAGGATTGGTGTGTAAATGAAATGAAACTGCATCTGTACCGCAGCTAGCACAGAGGGAGAAAGCAGCTAAAGTTCCCTTTGCCCTTTAAGCTTAGAGATCGAATCCCTGCTGTCTGATCCCACCCGCCCACCCTTCCGGGGTCACTTATAGTAACCTGCCCTCCACTGAGTCCAGGGGAATACTGATCCACCAACCTATTCTCTTTACTTTCCTTCTCTGGATTCCTGGCAATTCCACACATTAGGTTTCACTTGCTTACATTTTGCTTCTTTCTAAACACTCTTACCAATGATTTTTGTGATTTTTCAGGATCTTTCAGAAAAACCTGTCTTCCAACAAACTCAAAGGAATCTAGAAGTTAAAAGTAGAAAATTGAGATTTCTAAGCACAGGTTAGCAGACTTTGGCCACCTAATCATGGAATCCCCCAAGAATTC